ATTTGACGTGGAAATACGGCCGATTTTACAACCCGGCGCAGCATTTGGATCAAATTCTGACTTTATTGTAAAGCTGGGAGTCTATCTGGTCGTTTGAAACAGGGCAGAAGTAATCATGGTAACAGCTTTTAGTTTACACCGCTGAATTTATAACAACCACAAAACACAATAAAAATGGATTTTCTCCAAATGGGACCTTTAGTCAGTGACCAGAGAAGGATGTGACGAAAAAAGGCAGCAAGACTGAGAGCTGAGTCAACTCATTGTGCAGTAAAATAGCTGCACATATAATTAGCTAAACATGTGTATTCACTGTTAAGTTGCTCTTTAAAGCCGCATTAAACTGTAGGTTTACAATCTTCCAAGTCAGCCCTAAAACATGAGCAGGTTTTTTTCTTTTTGCTCTTGCTGTTCTTTCCTCTTGTTCGTACTTGACATTCAAAGATCCCCTCCTAATGCAAGCAGTGGGTGACAAAATTTGGAAATTAACAAGGCTTCAGTAGTCTGAGCAGGACAAATCCATTGGGTATTTCCCAAAGTCGAAGACATATTAGTACAAAATTCACTCGTTTTTTTTTTTTTGTTGCTATTCTCCCAATGAGGCTCAACAGGGAATCGCTGTCCAAGGACGCACAAAGAGAGAAAAAATTAGACTAAAAACACAGCGAAAGGCTTCCAATGGATACGTCCAAGTCAGTCGACTGAAACCTCATATTAGCTTCACATAAAATAGTTGCTTAAATTGAAAACGCTTTGGGGAATCACGCTTTAATGGCAAGCATGAACGGGAAGAAACGAGTGTTTTCGGTGTCCACTCGCGCTTCCTGTCGCTTTGAAAAACATATCTGGCTCTTTAAAGGCTCCAATATGTTCAGAAGGTTGCTGCGAACATCGGCTGTTGTGCCAAGCAGGTACTGTACGGAGGGCTTATCAGAGCTTTTTTTTTTTCTTTTTTTTTGCTGAAAACAGCTCGTGTCTGGAAATGTTATTGATTAGAACAGTGATGCTAAAGTAAAGGCATAGATAAGGAACGCAAAATGGAAGAGAAACAGCCTGTACGAGGAGGATAGCCGGAGAGTTGAGGGATTCTCTTCTGCAGTTTCATCTCGACGAATGATCCCTTTTTACAATACACTAAGTAATTTGACAACTTTTTATTGATCAGCGCAGCTTTAAGTGGCCTACTTTTGATTAAATTGAAAATACATAGACCCGCATTACCTAATTGCATTTGGAGCCACACTCATGCGGAGAGAAAAGGCAGTTTCTCAGTTTCCTTTTTCGATGGGAGGGAGCTGTTGTGTTTTGAGCGTAGCCGTTGTTTTATCGGGGCTTCATCGGTGACTTTCAAAGTAATCATTGCAAACCAAATGACTCCGGCCTCCTCTCTGACCACTGTGTGAATGCAGATTTAGTCCAGAAGTGTCCCATATCATGGTGTCATTTGTTAATGCCCTTGACTGTGCAGATTAAGCAAACAACTTATGCAAATAGGCCTCTACTGTTGCCAATTTAAATTAATACGAGCAGCTGAAACCCCATTTATATTCAGCCTCAGAATCCCTAATATGTTTGAAAAGAGATGTTTTATGTAAATTGCTGATTAAAATCCATTTTTCATTTCATCATTTTTGCTTATCTCTCCATAACTCTACTTGTTTGACTGAACTGACACACAGTTTAGTTCTAATTGATTTTTTCTCTTCTTCTCTTTTTCGCTTCCGTTCCTTTTTAAATCGGTTTCACTCAACCCTTGTTATTATAGTGTTTTGTTCAAACTGTTGCTTGTTTTGCCTTGAATTACATTTAATAAGTTGGATGGTAAAAACTAAAATAAAATAAAAATCCACGATGGGAGGAGAACTTACCCAGTTTGCTGTTGTCATTGCAAAATTTTCTGACTGGGAAGGATTCAGTCTTTATTTATTTTTTGAAAAATCCATTTCCTGTGGCAGATTGCTGCTGTCTGTCTCCCTGCTGTCACCTTGACATTTCCCTGAGACTTTTTTTTTTTGACACGTTTCAAATTGCGCAGTGTATCTGATTTTGATTCGTTTGATCGAGTTCAGCTGACGAGCATCAGATTAAACACGAGCAAGTTGAACGTACTGCACGTGTGACATTTTGTGTTCAAGTCCAATTTACAGTCATGTTATCTCATCTCTTGTCTTTTTTTTTCTTCCAAATGATCATTTCACTTACCTTAAAAATGTAAAATAATGGCATTAGATAAAGAATAAGTAGAACAAAACTGCCAAGAAACTCTCATTGCCTTCCTTCACGGAGGAGATATGGGCTGAGATTCAAACTGACAATCAATCTCTCACTCTCCTGTGTTTCCACCGGCTGTGTGCTTTTGACTTGCCTTTGACTTTGATCCATATCCTGCTTCTTGGCAGGGTTCTCCTACTCGGCTCTCGCCTTTTCTGCTCTCTCTTTGACTCCCCCCTTCCCTTCCCCACTCGCTCCCAATTCCGTCTCTGTCCACCCTGCTAACCTGTCCTCAGGGCAGGCTCAATCGCCCTTCATCTGTCCATCTTGCGCCTTCTCCCCCCCGTCCTCTGCGGGCGTAGATGCTACAGCATCCCTTTACCACGTCGACTGTCTCATGAGTCATTAAAATCAGAGGGAAAAGAGAAGAATGGAAGCAGTCATATGACCTGACCCAGTCATCTGGTATCAGAGCTTCATGGAGTACACGTATGAGCTTAAACTCAAAGTCACGGTCGAATTCTATCTTCTGCATGTGTGGCTCTGATCGGAGCTGATTTTCTGTTCACTTCTGTCACATTTCATGATTTTCATGCAAAATGGTCCCACATTGATCACACTGCTGCTTTAGAGCTTCGAAGTTTAAAGAGGATAACACGGTGAATAGCACATAAATGATTGTTTCAGCTTATTGCACCAATCTACAAGAGATGTCTGTCTGATTGAACTTCATTTGTTGTGATATTAGGGTTCATGGATACACAGTTTTTCTTTTTTGATTTTAACTTTATTTACAAGACACAGAGTTTGCTACCTTGTAGGCTTCACATGTGTGCAGCAAACTGAGCGTAGAGCATAAGAGAAACACTGAAAAGGGAAATTTAGAAATATTTCTACTTTAGAAAGAATGATGTTGACTAAAAATAGGCACTGTGTCGGCAGTGTCTTGTTATCATTGCAACTACATTAGGCAACGAATTTGTTTGACCATTCAAATCAGCACCACAAATCTTTTTTTCCTTTCCATCCATCCATCCATCCATCCATCCATCCATCCATCCATCCATCCATCCATCCATCCATCCATCCATCCATCCATCCAGTACCTCTGCTTTGTACTGCCCTACGCATTTTTAAGTAGTTATTTAAAGCAGCAGTCCCCAACCACCGGGCTGTGGATCGGTACCAGGCCGTGTGTCATTTGGTAACGGGCCGTACAGAAAGAAAAAGAAAAGTTTTATTGTTTTATTTTTACTTCCAGCGCAGTCTACAGGGTGTTTTATTTTGAAAAAGTACTAGATCGTCTTCCCGTCACTTCTGTTTGGGCTTGTTTTCTGCACTTGACTATCAATTTTCATGCCTGGCCATTAAGCGAAGCACATATTTAGCAAGTAATTTTATTTGTTTGTAAAACTTTTTAATAGAAAAAAAATTAAATAAATTTTGTTATGTGTTTAATGACCGGTCCGGAGAAAAATTTCTTGCGTAAAACCGGTCCGTGGTGCAAAAAATGTTGGGGACCGCTGATTTAAAGCATCTGGCTGTCGTTGCTGAATTTTTTCCACATCACAATATATATCATAGGAAAACAAAATATGGCAATGGCAGTTTCTTCCAATATCATGCAGCTTTAAAGATTACATTCTGGTTATGTTATTGTCATTACACACAGTACAAGCACTCGTACAATAAAATGCAGTTTTGCACCAAATTAGAAGTTTAAAAACAGCAATAAAGTGCGTTATGTGCAGTGTGTTACGGTACAAACCGAATAAAAGTTGAGTGACGACTGCACACTATAAAACTGCGGAACTATGCTTTCGTCAATATTATGAATTAACAAGTCATACTTGCAAGACGAGGTATCCTCTCGCTTTTCGTCTTTAGTGCATTTCACTTCAAAGTCACACAGCAAGAATGTTCCCAAATGAAATGTTGAGTTAGTCACAAAATCCATTTGTCCCACAGAAAATCCAGATGGTTCTGATTAATCATTACTATCAGTATCAGCAACAACTACAACGTTGTTTTTGCCAAGTTTGCATCAAGAAATGTGGCGGCGCTGCTAAAAAACAAGTCAAATGAGGAAACAAAAAGCAACCAGTAGTGGAAGACGTGCTCTGATCTGAACCCGTCAGCATGAGGTTTCTATGAAGATGCTGCATCTGGCCAAGAATAGTTTGGCACATATCCCCCATAGAACCACAGCTTGTAATTTTTAGACTTTTGTATGGATTGTACATGAAATAAAGCCAGGATAGCCGACTCCCGTTGTTTCCTCTGTCGCAGCACATTTGAGACATTCAAATACGGAGGGACAAGCACGTTGGTGTTAATCATCTCGTCTAGCTGTCAGCAGCAAAGTGAATAAGTTGTCAAGCCCCTCCTTGAAACAAGTTAGGTAACCGCCGCTTAATGCTCGGGGCACTTACCTGAGTGCTTTAAGTGAGGACGCTATTTATAACTCCTGACACTTTCCACCTGGCCTTACATTAGTAGAAATCAGTCAGGAGCCATGTTCTGAACTTCCCTATGTATTAGTTTGAAGGTGAAACGTTTGCACAGCGGCATAAGAGCCGCTGTTATTTAAAAACACTGTAGGCGCTATTCACTAAATTGTAGCTCCAACCTTTTTCAAAATGTGCTGTTGGCATCACGACTTTGACTTTGATCCATATTCTACTTGGCAAGATTCTCTGACTGTGTTCTCGCCTTTGACTCTCTCTGCTCTCTCTCTCTCTCTTTTTTTTGTCTTCTCTCTGCTCTAAATGCCACCCTCCTCCCCTCAGGGCGGGATGATCGCCCTTCTGCTGTCCATCCTGTGCCTGGTCCTGATCCTCTACACTCGCAGGCGCTGGTGCAAACGCCGCCGCATCCCTCAGCCCCAGAAGAGCGCCAGCGCCGAGGCGGCTAATGAGATCCACTACATCCCGTCTGTGCTGATGGGAGGCCAGGCCCGGGAGAGCTTAAGGAACTCCCGGGGTCAGGGTCCGAACTCCAGCGGAACCCTCAGCATCCGGGAGACGCCGATACTGGATGGGTACAAGCACGTTTTGGGTGGATGGGGGGGTTGGTGGGTGTGGGGCAACACTTAAACCCTAAAAATAGTCATACGCAGGAGCGAACCACAACCGGTTTGTGTTATTGAGAGGAATAATCAGTGTGTGGCGATGTTTTTCCACATTTTACACAACCAGAGGTCAGAAAGCGGCTGATGTACTTGAGTTTTGAGGTTCAAGCATCTTAACCCTATTCAGGACTTTTGGGGTCTTTTGTTTAAGTGACAGGCATTGGTGTTTTTTTTTAATTTTTGAAGATTTTTTTGTTTAATATCAAAAGAGGGCCATTTGTCATGCATTTGGAAGCAAACGTCAACTTATCAGAAAATGTATTTACCATAGTAAAAAAAGTCTATAATGAATACCAACACATATGTTGCACATATTCTTTCTTGGGGTCGAAACACCTTCTACATATGGCAACATGAAAGTCCTGAATAGGTTTAAACTCCCTAACTTCTCAGTCTACTCTGTCACACTCGGAAATCTCAGCAGCTCCATCAAACACATTAGCCGCTTGTGACATTTATTCTCACTTCGATAAGTCAAGATAATGCGATGCTAATTGATTTCGACCTCATCCCCAGGTATGAGTACGACATTACTGACCTGCGTCACCATCTGCAGCGGGAGTGCATGAACGGAGGGGAGGAATTTGCCAGCCAAGTCACCCGTACCCTGGACTCCCTCCAGGGCTGTAACGACAAGAATAATATGGACCTCGCACCTGGTAAGTTGACCGATGCACAAATAGCCAGGTCAGTAAAGACAGAGTGGAAAAACAAACTTAAAGCTGCACTGAACTCTCATATCAACTAAGAACCCCATGGACTTGAAGAAGTCACTCAGAGATCACTTCATGGCAAACTGTGACTTTCTGCTCTGTGTAGGATTTTTGACTTTTAAAGCTTTGTTCTTATAGCCTGTACTTTCAGCTTGTACTGAAGGAGGATATTTACTCTCAGCTCATTTCCAGCAGCTATTTTAAGCACACAAAGCTCAGACTTTCTGCTACACAAGGGCACACGGATGCTGCTCCTCTTTTGCATGATGTGCTATTAGCTTTCTAAGGCAGCACGTTTGGATGCCTGTCAGCTTATTGTGCACTTTTCTTGCCCCCCAAGTGGCCAAAAGTAAACAATTAACGCAGCTTTAATTTAAAGCTAACAATGGCTTTTTGTAATTTCCTTTTTTTCTGTTGACACATTTGGTCCTAACACGTGGATTTCTTGTTTAAGGAGTAAATGACCCTGATTAACATAATACTGTGTGTCGTGTTGATTGACGAGGAAATGTTCTACATTTAATTACTAAAGGCTTTAAAGCTGAGCTCATCAATATTTTTGTGTTTGCAATAGATCAGATTAATTTGTGCATTGTTAAGAAAATCATCACCTGCTTTTATTCTGTTTGGTTTACTTTTATTCCCTGCAGCTATACTGTTTTGGTGTCGTCCTTGCTATTTTCAACCTTATTTCTAGCCAGAACCAGCAGCGGTGCCAACAAATTTTTAGAGGGATTAGAGGGATGGCCACTCAGAAAATAGAAGAGGAATTTGTGCCTTGTCTTGTTAGTTTTTTATTAGTTTTATTTGGAAACATTGGAACTTGAATACAGTATATTAAGCTTTTCATGTGTAAATATCATTTGAACCCTTGAATTGTGACCTAAGCTGTGTCTTTTGAGTTGGTAAAGCTGATAAGATAATTACATTCGATGGGCACATGTGGGTCATTGGTGGTAAAAAGTGTCCTTGTTCTGCTCAGAACACCCACATAGCTGAGACATCACATTATGTCCATCCTTTAGTTTCTCTCCTTTGGGTGCAGGTTTTGGGTCAGTCTTGCTTAGTTCAGCACTTTACACCGCTTGTTTCCAAAGCTCTTCAAAATAGGTTTCATCCCCACAGTCTTTAGGATTCTGTAGGAGAGATTCAACTAAATCCACAGCTCAACCCGAGACATACACACCTTATCTCATATATAAAATAGAAGCACACGTTGTTTATTCGCACATAAAGCAGATGGGTTTTCATACTTTTCAATAACTGGCTTTATTATAAGTTGTGTGGGGTCTCACCTTGGCTCCACCTTTGGCCAGAGCAGCAGTTTTTATAAAAGAAAATCTTTCTATAACTCATTTCTTCATATGCTCAGTCACTGGTTGCAAGAAGCATGACTCGAATCGATGCTAATGTGTGTCTTTCTTTGGGTTGTGTAGCAAAGAAAGCTGCTAGCTAACCTAATGTCAAGTGGCCAAAAATTAATTACCTCTGGTTTAACTCCTTCATTACATTGAATTTGCCACATTCACTCAAGTATGAGTTATCCAAGCTGATGTATGCTGATGTAGCAGTATTGCTAAACAATGCATCGGCACAACATTTGTCGAATCAATGTGCTTACAGCGTTTTGTGTTTGCTGGGTTTGGATAGCTGTAGAGTAAAATGCTCCTGATGAACCATTTCTGCAGAAGCTTGTACCTATTTAACAATGAAATTATTGTTCCTCCTCGTCAGCCATAGATTTTTAATTGAAAAAAGTCGTAAAATGATTGTACAGTCGTGACTTGATAATCCGACCCTTAACAATCTGAAAATCTTGCTATCCGACAGGTTTTTAGGAAAAACGAACAGAACCCATAGAAAACAGCCTTAACATACCAACAGCCTTGGATTCCGACTCCGACATGACATTTCATGTCACAAGTAAGGATAACGTCATATTAACAATCCGATAGATTAGCTACGTTCAGACTGCAGGACTTAATGCTCAATTCGTATTTTCTTGTGAAATCCGATTGTTTTGTGAGTTTGTTCCCTTTTCCAGTTAAATGCGACTTGTATGTGATCTGCTGTGTGAACTTCATACGACCCAAAAGTGTCCCGCGTGCGCAGAAGAGGACAGGACGACGTCACACGCAGCGAGCGTGCTCAGCGTTTACAGAAGTAAACATGGATGGTAGCAGTGGAGCGTATCCACCATTTCCTCTCTGCCACTGATGGTGGAATCAGAACTGTGACTGCTATTCTAAACTGGCTTGTGCATTCCAGCCACTTCCACCCCATCGGAGCGCTCCCCCGGGGTGGAAGTGTGCAGAACGTGCACAAGCGCACCGGTCAATTAGGCGTGAAATACAGCCATGCTTAGTGTTCTAACAATACACTAGTTATTATAACAACTATAAACAATAAATATTAACAACAAATCCCCCTTCAAGCATCAAGCCCTCCTTGTCTCTCGACCTCCGTCTTGACAATCCGACAGCCTTGCTATCCGACATAAAAGGTTTTACATTTAGTGTCGGATTATCAAGTCACGACTGTACTTGCTAGGGGTTCAGGACAGTATAATTACATTAAAACCGCTGTTGTCATTGAAGTGTGACGTTAAATCAACTGACTTTTGATTGACTAACTTTGCAAATTTAATTATCTCTTATAGATAAATACTCATTAAAAAATGAATGTAGAGCAAATAAACAGAAGACAAAAACTGTTATTTTTTATGAACAAGGAGTCTGCGAATGCGTTGCCAGTGTAAAACAATAGAACTACATATAAATCATCCAAATGGGCCCCCTTTGAGCTGTGTTTATAATCACTGGAAAACCATCAGTTCTGTGACTGGTGTAGAAAGTCCATCAGATATAAACATAAAAACTGCAGGTATTCTTTTAAAGAGTTTGTTCTTCATACTTGAAATACTCAAAAGACCTGCGTGCCTGACAAGAATTATTTTCAGAGAAGTTATTTTCCATAATCAGTGGACGTTGCAGTTGAGCAACACTCCCATGGGAGTTTTCGTATGAAGCGGCGCTGTTTTGATGCAGGTATACCCTCTGAATTTCAATTAACGGCGGATTCACCGCTTGGATTCATCAAGAGATCGTTTATGGTGACAGCGCTCTCACACAGTGTTCCTATAAAATCTAAACAGCCCCACCCGTGAGCTGATGGAAGTGGAGTAATCCTGTGCATTATGCATCTGAGATGGGTAATAGGATGAACTAGAGAAATAGAAAATGCAGGCGGCAGGCCATGCACGGAATATTGAACAATATAAACACTGGAGAGGTCACTCAGAAACTGGCATTTGAATTTGGACTAAAATAACACGGATATATTTTTTAGCTGCTGTGACCTTTCTTTTTAGAATGATTTAGTAATATGCATACATCAACAAGTGAAATAATAATGTCTGCATTATCTCACGGATGCTGTAACAACTCTCATTGAGATGTTTGAAGATAAACACGGATCAACCGCAATATTAAAAAAACAACTGTTACAGTGAATAACATCAATCATCTAATTACAATGGGTGACATGTGAGTCAGCAAAGCCAGTTTTTGAAGTCGATGTGTTCAAAGCAGCAACTGTCAGGATCCAAGTGACAAAACAGGAAGTCCTGTGGGGTTAGAAACTACAAACAGGTCCAAGAAAGGACAACTGAAGACAAGGTCATGGGCGCCCAAGAACACTAATGCACATTGGGAGCAATGGCTGGCCCTTGTGGTTCGATCTGACAAATAAAAACATGTCAGAACATCACAGCTCGCTGCATCTGGAGTTGTGTATCCGCAGACCAGTAATGGTGTCTATGCTGACCCTTGTCCACCACTGAAAGCACCTACAATGGGCACAGGAGCATCAGAACACAACCGTGGAGCAATGGAAGAAAGTGGCCGGGTCCGATGAATCCTGATTTCTTTGTACGTCTTGTGAATGGCTGGGTTCATGTTCATTGATTACCTGGGTAAGAGATGACAGCACGATGGGAAGAAGGCAAGCCGACGGAGGCAAACCTTGAGTCGAGGCATTCACGTGGATGTTACTTTGACATCTACCTAAACACGGTTGCAGACCACCTACACCCCCTCATGGCGTCGGTATTTCCTGCTGACAGCGGCCTCTTTCAGCAAGATAACGCGCTCTGCCACGCTGTTCAGAAATGGTTTGAGAAACATGACAAAAAAAGTTGAAGGTGTTGACTTGGCGTCCCAATTCCCCCAAAATGTCAATCTGATTATCTTAGAACATGCTGGAAAAAGAAGTTTGATCTGTGGAGGCCCCACCTCGCAACTTCCAAGTCTTAAAGAATCTGCTGCTGACATCTTGGTGCCTGATATCACAGGACACCTTCAGAGGTCTGTGAAATCCATATCTCAATGCGTCAGAGCTGTTTTGGTAGCATAAGAGGGATCTACGCCACGTTAGGCATGATGTGGCTGATCAGTATACATTTAACTTCTGTCCATTAAAATACAAAATTGCTAAAGCACTCACTGACAGCATTGATTTGCTCATGTAATTGTTTCCAAGGTCATTCATTTAGAATTTCTATTGAATATGTATTTATCTACTCTGTTGGTTTTGTTACATTTTCATCATTTTTAGCAGTTGGATCATTCTATCTTGCAAATTTGTGCAATCAATAGACAATTTTATTCCATCAGTAAAGTCAAGTTGAATAAACTTACTGACATTAATTCAGGAACATATGACTGCCACTACAGGATCTCTGTCTACATTTATCAAGGTTGTCAGTACTATTCATTCATATTTCACTTATTGCATTGTGCTCACATTGAAGCCCTATTCTCTCCTAAGACAGTGTAGACACACACTGAGGAATCAAAGAGAACGAGACTCCACGGTCAGAATAGCAGCGTTTCTGTAACATATTTTTATTTTGAAGTATCGCATGAGGAAAAGTTTGTGGGGATTCAGAGTGAATGCTCGTGGAAACACCTTGGATAGATTCTGATGGAGTAAAGATTGACTTAACTCAGATTGGCTGTTTTCTTTTTCTCGAAGTTTGGTTTGTTTCTTTTCTTTGTGGCGGCTTTCAGCTGCTGACGAACAGCTACTCATGTTTCTCACTTCTTCTACTCTGTTTGTTGTAGCCATGTGTAACATAGGCTATACCGCCACCTTCTGATGATTCTACTTTATTCGCTCCTAAGTAGCTTTGTCTTTTATCTTGCTTGAAAATATATGGGAACGTGGCTCCTCGGGGCTCAGTGAGAATGTGTTTAACCCTGATCAAGACTTTCATGTTGCCATAAGTAGCAGGTCTTTCGGAGTCCATTGGACCCCAAGAAAATATATGTGCAAAATATTTGTTGGTATTCATTCTAGACTTTTATGCTATGTTAAATACATTTTCTGATAAGTTGATGTATTTTTGGTTCCAAATGCATGACAAATGTCCCTCTTTTATATTTAAAAAACACCTGTCACCTAAACCAAATGACCTGGGGTCCAAAAGACCCCAAAAGTCCTGCATAGGGTTAATAATACTGCAGCTTTTAGCTATATGCTAACATTAGCATGTTAGCATGCTTACAAAGACGAGGCTAGGTGCTTTTGCTAAGAGGGAAGGATGTTTACCGTGTTCAACATCGTAGTTTTCTACATGAACATGCTACAGTAACACTTGCTATTACCACTAGCAGTAGAGATGGGATTTATTCTCGAAGGACCATGAATGAAATTTCATCAAAATCCATTAAATAGTTTTACAGATATTTCAGCCTGGACCAAAGTGGAGGACAGACTGACATTTCCATCACGGAAGTAATCCTGCTCCCGTGGATAAAAATGCATGCGGTGTGACTAACTGACACACAAATCGTATATTTTTTGGAGGTGAAGCACTCCTGCAAGGATGTTATTCCAGAAATCGTGTTCTATGAGAGTATCAGTTTAATTGTCTCCCTGGAACATCTCTTCATATTTGCAGAATTAGATCATTTCATCCTCTGAGACTTAAGTGTGCTCCGTCTATTCCCTTTATAAGTTTTAATTTCATGCCAGCTTTTCTCACTCTTTAATTTTGACTGTTTGACTCCTTGCCCAGTAAACAAACATGCCGGGTGTGTTTTCTTAGCATCACGGCGCGTTAGGCTTTGCTACATTGTGGTTTAAAAGCACCCCGCATTCAGCCAAGAACAGCACGTTATTCCAAGCGGGTGCTTTTGCGTAGCGACAACTCTCTTCCCTTACATTGCACCGCGTTTGTAATTACATCCTTCTTGTCCACAGTGAGTGACAACACCAAGTTGGCCCTGATGAACAAGTACAAAGACAACATCATCGCCACGAGTCCGATTGACAGCAACCACCAGCAGAACACCCTGCTTCCACACAACACCTCCACCAGCCAACGCAAGCGCCTCTCCAGCAACACCCGTGGTGAGTCACTCTCTCCCACAGGTTCGACACAGAAGTAGATCGAATTCACCCCACAGCTCCAGGAGTTCAACAAGTAGACCACTCTGCATAGTATACGTAAACTGTTGCTGTGAGGTATCAGGCTGGGGATCTTAATGATGAAGACGATTTTTTATTTATTTATTTATTTATTTTTTGAACGACGTACATTCAAACCCCTTTCAAAACTATTCTCCCATGGCATCAGTGACATAATTTAGAATTCACGTGTTAAAGTCAACCTAAAATTTAGCTACTTCTCATGATTTATGGAAGGAAGCTGCTACGCTTAAAAAATAAAAATAAATAAAATGTGAAAAAAAAAGAAAAATATGGACATATTAGTGGAAAAAAAAATGTCTGGAGTTTCTGAGTGGGCATTCCAAACGGCATCTGTTGACTGAAAACTGAAAGCTGGTGTTGCTAGGAGATGTGTTATCAACTTCCATGGTGCCCATAATGTCAGACAGTACAGCCTGCAGATGCTATTACAAGATGTTTCTTTTCCTTTTTTTTTTTTTCTTCAGTAGTTTCACATCACGTTGACTATCAGCTGTTATGTAAGTTGTGTTTCCCATCACCGTGTCCATCAACAAGCTATGCTTTAGCAGTTTTTCATTGTAGAAGTCCTCACATGACAATGACATGTTCACAATATATTAATGATTGTATGCTATTAACTAGCATTAGCAAAGGGCATCGCTAATTTGACTTATTTAGGGGCAAATCCTACACATTTTTAAATGAAGATGTCTCCTAGAGAGGGAGGTTCAAGTCAGTAAAATTTGAAAAACAAAAAATGAAAATGAAAAACATGCAATACGGTAAAAAAAGAACTCTAGAACTCATATAGCTGATCAGGACAGATTAAAAAAAAATTCAAACATCCTTTAGGCAACAGATCAACCGATGCTTCTCAGCCCATCATCACGGTGTGGTTGGTAGCATATGAGGCCCTGCAGGTACAAGCTTTGGGTTTATATTTGCAACACAGAAGCAGCTGAGTGCCACGTGGTAGTGGTTCAATTAAACATGGACCAACTCCAAGTGGTCAAAAAATCTGTTACTGCAGGTTTAAAGTTGCAGCGAGATTAAGATGCAGACTTTTTATTTTCAGAGTGCATGGATGGGATTTAGTTATGAGCTGGAGTTGAGTAAAATCGTTTCATCAGTTGTGTGTTTCTGCAGTAGAGGCGGCTGCAGTTTCAGGACCACATTTCCCTCGTTTTTGACGACAGTGCCACCTACTGAACTGGGTAACTTCCAAAGTGTGCAGCTTTTGTTTTAAAGACTTATTCCATCCAAAATTTGACTTTGTCCTGCGCTTTAGCTTTGCTGCTAAGAGTTGCATGTTTTGAAGTCTTTGTCTAATTAATATTATTAGATTATTATCAGTACAGTAAAGATGGAATCATACGCTACGGACACTCCATCTCAAACAGATATTTAGTGGCAAGACCCAAGATTGGCTCTCTGCGGGCACATATACAAATTATTTTGATCATCCATGAGTTGAATCACAGCACAGGTAGTACCAAATGTTCACCAAAAGTCCATAAAACAAAAATATTCTATGTTAATTAGTATAAATTTGACATACGACAGAGTATTATATAAGGGCCACGTTAAGAAAAATATTCGAGATTGAGAACAAAGTCATAATATCATGAGAATAAAGTCGGAATTTTACAAGAATAAAGTTTCACAAACCAGGAGATACTTGATCTTTTGGCGCATCAGCACCACATTATCATTAGTATCAGGACTTTGAAAAGAATTTGCAAGAAAATGAATCTGTTCCGAAGGTTCTTTCTTTGGAATAGATTCATTTTCTTGCAGCTTCTATAATGTTCTGACTTTATTCTCGTAATAATATGACTTTATTCGAGCAGTATTGCGACTTTATTCGTGCAATATTACGACTTTATTCTCGAAGTCTGTCAAAAAATATTGTTTTTAATGTGGCCCTAATATTCCGTCGTATTTACAAGTCCACTGATCGAGTTAAATTTAAATAAAAAAAACATGATTAAAAAAAAAAAAAAGCAGTTCGATTTTTAGGTGCAAATGGCTGCTGCTCATCTCTAATTGCTCGCTGCAGCTTCTATCCACACTGAATTCATGCAGAGGTCGCGGTGCACTCGAACACGAGTTGTTGACAGAGTGAAAATTGATATTTTTCTATAGAAATGAGGCCTGATGTGGAGGTGTTATGTTCAACTCACTTCAGCATTGGGATCAATGCCCGGCTGTACACGTCTTTTATCTCTAAATGTTTATCCGTCTATAGTCGACAACAAGTCACAGTGGGTCACTGAATGCCACCACAGGTTTAATCATTGACAACATCATGAATGCCCTTTGAAAAACTCCCAAGGACCCGGAGACATTTTCAACCTGTTATACAAAAGTTATCAATAACACAGTGAAGAATATAAGGCAATGTTATAAAAAGTTAAATCAAGATACATGAGGCCTTTGCAGGATAAACTCGGTGATGTATATCCATATTATCTGGGGAGATGAATGCCATTTGAACAATAAATAACAACGCTTCGTGTGAATGTGGTATGAATGCAAAACCTCAACATGTTTTCTGTTCATTGTGGTCCATCAGCTAACACAAGCAGCGCTCCTCTCCTCATTTTCCCATTCATGTCACTCGACATTTGTGTTTTTCCTTCATTTGCACTCGCGCCGCCATCATCATCACAAACTCTCGTCTCGCTCCGCGTTCACCTCTGCCTGCTCAAGCTGTGATAGTATAGGAGGTGTGCTGTATGGCAGGAGATGGAGGAATTGAAAAGAGAGAGAGAGAGAGAGGGTTACAGTCGATGAAATGGAGAGACATTATCCCATTATGATAAACAAGAGAAAAAGAAGGCAGCGACATTTTCAAAATGTCATTTTGAAAATTTTCAGTTGACCTCAGACCATAATTCACTTTCCTCCACACTTGGCTGCGCGGATGCTTTATTCTCAGCCCAATTAAAAACAATTCTGCCGTGTTAGTCGCTTCAGAGAAACTCCAGAAATAAACTTGTTTCACAGCAGAAAGATAGAGTACACGGTGCACAGTGATTCAGAGGTCTTTTCCAAACTACTAGGAAAACTTGTCATCGTAAAGCCGCGCCGCAGGAACAAAAGCACAAGTATTTATATGTGCATGTTATTACAGCCAGCTCCCATGTATTTGCTCTACCAGTCATTTTAATTCATTCGTGACTATTGGAAACCCAACATGACTCTTGGGATGTTTCTTATTTGTTAACGAAAAAGGCAGATTTCTTTCGTTCTCTCTGTTTGTCTTTGCTTGACCTTGACTGTTTCAGCTCTTTCCTGCAGCCACTCCGGCTTTTTCCAAAAACAGCGTCGAGAGCTGGAATCAGAGAAACGCAGTTGAGGAAAACAACATTCAAGCAAACTCTCTTATCAATAATAGAGGGTGAGAACAAAGAGCGAAAGCCCCCCAAACACCCAACAGAAAGCGGCGCACGAGGCACCACTAGCAGATCCAAATGGTGGTGTTGGAATATTTAAAAACTCAGGGCTCAGAAATCCTCCAACATGGTTGCAGCGCACCGCAAAACAACACAGTGATGTTTAGCTTCCCGGCTTGTCGATGAGGCTTCATAACAAAATGATGAAAGAGTCAAAAGGGCTAAGGCCGGTGTTCAGGCTGGTGTAAGTGCTGGTCAAACACCCTGACACACAGGAGTTAGAACAGAAAGTGGAGGATGGTGCATAGTGGCCCGTCACATACACAAACACACATTCTTAGTGATTACTTTCAAATGTAAAGGGGGTAGTTGTACATTTTACCCCACCACAATAAGTTATTAAAAGAAAACTGAGTAATTTCTTCAAACGAGCAGAAGTACTTGTGTGTTTTCTTGCCCTGATGGATTATTTTCAGACCTATTTTATCATTTTATTGGCTTAATTACATGAGTAAGTCCTTTGTACAGTTTTTGTTAAGCCTTAAAACTTGTGAATATTTCTTAGAATGGAGTGGCTAAACTTGCTAAACGGCCACTGAAATGTGAAGTAAACCTCATCAAACCAGAAGAACCCATGTGTATCACAAACCACCTTCAACTTTCTGTGAAATTTATAGCAAAACAGCCTCATTACTAAGAAAGTGTTACCATCACTGGATCTGCTTGAAGGGTCAAAAATAAATGCGTCTTGTTGAGTTTAACTTGTGAGAATAGGAAATTTGTGCTTTTGACCAACAGCAAGCTGTTTAGGAATGTGGAGACAGGAGCTGGAAAGTCTGTGATGGTGATTGACAAGCTATCCTGACTGGGTAGTCATTTAGCACTTGTGAGCTACAGCTATTTGCCGACTATATAGCATATCATGTTATTTGAAAAATGATCATACATGTGAGATCAGTGGTTAAATATTGATATTTTCTGGGTGTGTTTACTCAGTCTGAAACGTTTGATTCAATGTGAGAACTGTACATAGACAGAAGCTGTGATGTCTCTGCTAAAGACTGTATGGATCATTTGGCTGGAGCATAGTAAATGTAGCTTAGCACAATGAGGTAGTCCAGTGACAATCCCAATAAAGGTTGTTTTACTGGTATGAATATGCTCCTGATGCCAAAAAATCTATCAACCATCACACCAAATCTAAGGCAACAAAGACTTCTTGGTAGATGTGAAACTTTTGCATCCAAAGCTGTAGATTTTTATTTGAAGTCGAGGTGAGAAAACCAAACCAAAGTTCTTACAGTCTACATATTTCATAAGTTTATTTGTCCATCAACAAAGACAGCTGCAGTATCTGTACGGTACAAGTTGATGGTAACATTTTGCTTCACAAAGACAAAAGCAAATTACAACAGTTCTGATGTAATGAGGAAATGCTGATGAATGTGAATTGCAAGTTACAAAGAAATAGATGTTGAACATATCAGTGATATTTACTGTCAGCATATATTTTTCTGCCAAGATAAACCGTCTACCAGGACA